TATACTATACACTGAAATGTAAGTACAATATTTATATTCCAATTGATTTATTTTATAAATATATGGAAGGAAGCAGTTTTTCAGTAACAGCATGCTGTGACATTTGTCTGTGTTGTTGTTGTTGTTGTAAGCAAGTAGTTTTTAAGTGAGGGGTAATTTGGGGGTACACAAGACAAATCAGACTCCTGAAAGGGGTACAGTAGTCTGGAAAGGTTGAGAGCCACTGCTCTGGTACATACGTTATTTCTGTAACTACTACGACACTCATAATGAGGGATGTGTATTGCTTCCTTCTTTTACAAGCTGCTGGACATTGCTGTTTCTGCTATTGTGAATCCAAAAGGAGCGTAGGGAGCTTCAAACAATGTGGGTTTGGGGCCTTACTTGGTCACCGTGTTGGCAGTCTACGCAGAGAAGGAAAACATTGACTGGACATGGAATTTGAATCTCAGTTGACTTGATCTGTCTGAGTCCGAGTTGGGACATGTCGGCAGGGCAGCGTGGGGAAACTTGCCCTGGTGCTGCCTATCCTGTGCTTCTTGGCACTCCAGAATTGTCAGTCCTGAGCCCTTCACCAGCACTGTACTCAAACATTCAAGGGGATGTTCCTTGCTGTTGCATAAACTGCATGTTTTGTGAGTGACATGATTTCCTTTTCCAATCTCAGCAATGTAGCATAATTGAAATTGGGTGGGAGGGAGCGGACGGTGGGTTTAAAATGACAAGCCATCCCTCATAAGAGAGGTCATTGAGGGTACTGTAAGATTTCCACTCCTCATGAGCTTGTCGCCATGGCCCAGCCCCCTCTCTGATGGCCCTGTGACAGCTTTGCAGTGCAGCCGCAGACTCTTGACAGAGGCGCCATGACAGGTGCTGATCAGTTATGCCTCCTGCACACAGTCACTGGAAAGAGGTTGCAGAGGTGGTGTTCTGTTGCTGAGGGAATCGGATGCTATTTCTAGACACCGCTCTGTCTTCACCCTATGGTTTGACAGTGATTTGTGTTTTCCACTCTCTGTGCAATTGCAACTCCCCAAAAGCCTCCCCCCAGGAATGTGACTGTGGTAAACATGCACACTTCGCCATGGATTTACCATGTGCAGGCCAAAAGTGTAGGCTGCAGCTCACTGGGTGCAGCAGTGCCTCTGCACTGATAATTGCACCTCTTGTACATTTAAAAAAATCATTGAAGAAAGACTGTTTCTTCTTATTGAGGAATGATTAATTTAGCATTTAGCAGACTTAGTGGAAAGACTAAGCAGTCAGCTGTGCAGGACTCACTGTGCATTCCATGTGGTAAAAGGATTAAGAATGTTTACATGCATGGTATATAGGAGGGATTGGCAAACCTGTTTGACCACTCCAGGATTGTGAGTTCAGAAGTTCAAACCACCCACATGGCTGGGTTTGTGTTCTGTGAAAGAGAATGGGAAAAGCAACAGAGAGAGGTAGAAAATCCAATGGGAAGAATAGGGCAAAAATACAACAGAGAGCGTACCCAATGAAAAATGCATCTAGAGATTGGGGAGGAGAAAAGGAGCAGGGACAGGGAGAATACGCACACGTTCACACAGAGTACATAGAGCAGGCTTTGCAGGTGCAACAGGGTGGGGTTATCTGGGCCAAGAGCTGCTCCTTAACCCTTTCATCTCCATTGTGGGGTTCGTTTATCTGATTGCAGAGATGATTACTTTTCTTTCCCTAACAGAGAGCACACACATGCGCTTCTCTTTAGCTAGACAAATATCTTTGACTTGATTCCCCTGTAGGAAAAATCGTGGATTTAGAACTACAGAAAATCTCATGACCTTAAACTAGTTTGAGAGGCTCACAGCAGAGATGGTTCAGTCGTCAGCTGAGGATGCCAGAGGTTCAAGCATTGGGTGAATGTATTTTATACTTATGAGCTCTCAAGAGAAGAGAGAGCCCTATAATGTCTCCGCCCTCCCCCCCCCGTAGGCAACCTTCGAGTTCCAAGAGAAGCTTCATCCTCTGATTTCTGTGCCAGGTTTGGAATTTCCTCAGTTTTACTACACAGTAGCAAAATCCAGTGTTTAGGGGATGTTTGGAACTGAGCTTTTGATTCAGGTCCTCATCTAGTTCTAACACATGATGGTGCTTGCACTACTCCAAATCTGTCTCTCGCTATTGTGAAAGTCTCACATTCCACCCCACATCAGAGCATGTAAAATTGAAAGGGAGCGCTGATAGGTACTTTAGAGATCTGAGGCTTGGTCTACACTACAGAGTTAGGTTGACGTAAGGCAGCTTATGTCAACCTAATTATGTCACTGTCTACACTACAATGCTGCTTCTGCCAAAGTAAGTGGCCCGCTACACTGCCATAATAACTCCATCTCCATGAGAGGCATAGCACTTATGTCAGTGTAGTTAGGGCGACACAGTGTCTGGTGTAAACACTGCGTTACTTACATTGGCTGTTGGCTGTCAGTCCTGAATGGGGCTGACAGCTCACCTTCCCTTCCCTCCCCCCCCCCCCGTCAGCTGGGTGCTGGGCTCACAGCTGGGCCCCACTTGCCCTGATGCTGACAGTTTGAATGCCAGGCTCACAGCAGTGTTCCCCCCTGTAGCTGTCAGCCAGGCACTGGGGCTCATTGCTGGAGCCCACCTGCCCTGGGGTGACAACCTGAGCTGTGAGCTGAGCTCAAATTTCACAGCACAGGAACCTACCTGCAGTGAAATTGACATTCTTGTCAGTTTCACAACTCCAGCTGTAAGCCCCCAGCAGAGACAATAGCAGCTTTGAAACACACAAGAATGTCAATTTCACTGCTGGTAGGCTCCCTACTGTGAAACTGAGCCCCATGCTGGGCTCACAGCTAAGGCTGTCACCCCAGGTCTGGAAGCTGTGAGCCCCGCGCAGCTGTCAGTACCCCCACACTCCAGCTGTCAGTGCCGCACTTCAAACCGTGCAAGAGCTCCTGATGAGGACGTGCACGACGGCAGAAGGAAGATAGTGTGGACACCAATAGCCAACTTTACTACAGTGGCTGTAGGTCAACCTAACTGAAGTCAAATTAATTTTGTAGTGTAGACAAGCCCCAAGTCTGGCTAACTAGTATTGTTGCTTAAAAAGATAGAAACCCCAGTTCTAGTTAAAACACTGCTGAGCTGTCTGGATTTTCAATTGATTTTACTCCAGGTGATTTGCATTAAGATTTTTAAAAATCAGTGTTTGAACAAAGCCCCATGCAATTCCCTCATGAGATTAACTCACAGCAATAGGTCCTGTGGCACGTGTGTTTTGCATGTAAATGTAGGCGTTAACCTCAAAGCTTTCAGCATCTCATTACATGGGTCACTCCCTCATTGACTTTTATTTATGAATGACAAATTAAATGTCCTGGTCCATGGCATGGAAAACAGTGTGTCATTTCCCTTCTTCACACACAAATCTCTCCTTTGTAAGCAGGGTCCTAATAATGAACTGGGAATGGCTGATTGGGCGGATTCTTTTTTAATAGTTAGAGTATTAGTAAGTGACAGGTTTGTAATGATTCTGGTGAATGATGAGCAGTAGAATTGAATATATTGCTTCTTGGTTCATATTTTTCCCAGGAATAACAAACCTGTAGGTACTTCATGTCAGTAAGTGCTCACAGATTAGATCCTTCCCATAAGGGGATATTTTCAATCCAAAGCAGTATATGCTGGGGATTTAGCTGTGAGTCCCTTTAATCGTAATGGGAGTGACGCTGCTATAAATACCTCTGTGCTGCTTTGAAGATTTATGCCACATAAACCTACACACATCAGGCTGTAGGTGCAGCTGTGGAACAGCTTTGTTTATGATCTGTTGAAAGCAGTAGTAGAGATACTGTATGAAGTTAACCTTTCGAAAGTTGCCCCTAACCTGTTAGGTACATTCAGATAGATTATGGTATGTCCGCTGGACTGCCAGATGCACAGATGTGTCCTGATATTGGAGTGCAGTGGGGTGTTAATAAAAAAATGCAGCAATACAAAAAGGTGAAATGGAACATCAGTTAAAAAATAAAGCTGAAGCTTAGTTGATAAGGAGTATATTTTCCTAGTCCTGTATCCAAATGATTGATAAATGCACAAAGTACAGTATAAGATGTAAGCTGACACACATAGTATTGGTTTTAATGTCAGCCGTGCTTCCTTAAGCTTTGTTTGTATAATGTTACCCATAAATCCTTGTGCACAGGTGGTGGGAGGATAGATCCTGTTTGGGTGCTGATAATATTGATTGGCAGCTCTCCCACTAGAAATAAGCTATACATATAATTAAAGACATCAGCGTTATCAGCTGTGGGCTTTTTGTTCCTTCCAACTCACTGGTCACAGCATGAAGGTTTTGTTTGTTTTTAAAATGGTAAACACAAGGAAATATATTTAATTAAATGTTTAGGTTCTGGCTTAAATCCACAAAAGAAAATAGTTATATGAAAGACTGCCACACAGCACCTTTATCCCCATCCCTCATGCTAAGACCATTTGGTGGCATATAGCTTAACACACAACCTATGACAACCTTTTGACTGAGAGCCAAAGCTATTGCCCTCAGCAACCCAGTCTTGTTCCCATTGACTTCATTGGGCGCAGCAGCAGACCATGGATGGATATTTGTTGGCCCATCTGAATGGAGCTGGCGTTCTAAGTCTACGTCTTAGTGAGGCCAGGCAAGGAATGGGCAGCGTGGAGGCTCAATGGTGAGTTGGGGAAGCTGCTTTTACCATTACCTGTGGGGGTTAAATAGGGCTCTCACACACATTCAGTAAACAGAAAAATTAGCCTTGTGAGCTACATAGTAGGGGTCTGATTCTCCATTTACCTATGCCAGGTTTACAGTTTAGACTTCAGTAGAATCATAGAATATCAGGGTTGGAAGGGACCTTAGGAGGTCATCTAGTCCAGCCCCCTGTGCAAACCAGGACCAATCCCCAGACAGATTCTTCCCTAGATCCCTAAATGGCCCCCTCAAGGATTGAAGTCACAACCCTGGGTTTAGCAGGCCAAGGCTCAAACCACTGAGCTATCCCTCCCCTATTTTATACTGCCATAAGTGAGAGGAGAATCAGGTCCTAATATCTGGCAAAGAACCAGAATTCATTGTAGTAAGTCATTTAATCTAACACATCCTAGATTATTTCATTTTGCTGTGGAGGTAAGAGGCTGAAATGTAGCAATCTTTAGAACTGAACCAATGCTGTCCATACCTTGGTGCAATGTTATCTTTCAGGGGGAGCTAGAGAATCTAAACATGCAGTTTTGCATTCAGCTTTAACCCACAATAACCAGCTCTAAATTCTTTTTATGGGTAGTACTCAGGATGCCATGTATGGATCACTTTATTGCTAGCGCTACAAAGGAAACAATCAGGTTTAATGCTGGGGCGAAGGGGGGCAATTCACTGGAATATGCTCTGAACAGTTCTTTATGATGCCATTACAGATGCGGAATGGAAGCATTGTGTCAGAGAGCCGTTTACTTTTGGAGTTTTAGCAGATGCAGTCAAGTCATATTTCACTAAGTAGTTTGAAACAAACTTAAAACCAAAAGTATATTGTGGCAGGGCGGGATGGGAACTGTAAGGATATAAAATAAGAATTTCCAGGGGAAGTTAATCTAGCATAGATTCTGGTGGAGGAAAGATTTACCAGTTCAATAGAACTACATGAATTTATGCCAGCTGAGGATCTGGCTCCATGTTTATAAAATATCCAGCATGATATTCTAAAAACCAAACCGATTTGGACACCCTGCTGCTTAGTCTCGAGAGAATGGGAGAAACCTCTGAAATACAGTAGAGTGAAATGCAGCAGAAGAAATAAACCCTCTTTAGTGTTTATAATCTATAGTCACGCAAATTAAATTTCCCATTACCTGATAATGTAAGAGTTACAAATGGATGAATGGACTCATGTGAACTCCTCCCAAAGTACACAGAACAGGATGGGTTGGAAAACTGAATTTCTGTTCCACAGGAAATTCTGACATTTCAAAGTTTGTTTCTGTGCTATATGAGAACATGAAACCTATTATGTAAGAGCCCAAATAGGGATTTGTTCTTGTCTTTACAAATCACACGGTCTTCTGTCAAACACCAGCATAACTCTTCATCCATTATTTAAGCTTCAGAGGTGGAGAGGGTTTGGGATCCTATCAGTGCCTAGCAATATACTGTGACAGGGTGCTAGTTGTAACACCCTGGTCACTGAAGTTGCTGGAGCCCAGAGAAGGATGCAGGCTTACTTGGAATCAATCAACCTGTTACTGGTGGGATTGGATGACTGACACTTGGTGGCAGTTTTTGAGGTAATTGGCTTTGTCAAGATTCCTTCCCCACTCTGAACTTTAGAGTACAGCTGTAGGGACCTGCAGGGAAACCTCTAAGCTTCTCTACCAGCTTAGATCTGCTTTTGCTGCCACCACTCCTAATGTGCTAAATCCCTTCCCTGGGTAGCCTTGAGAGACTCTTCCACCAATTCTCTGGTGAACACTGATCCAAAACCCCTTGGATCTTAAAACAAGGAGGAATTAATCATTTCCCCCCTCTCTTCCCTTTTCCCCCCACCAATTCCTAGTGAGTCCAGATCAATCCCCTTGGATCTTAGAACAAGGAGGAATTAATCATTTCCCCCTCCTCCCTTCCCTTTCCCCCCACCAATTCCTAGTGAGTCCAGATCAATCCCCTTGGATCTTAGAACAAGGAAAAATCAATCAGGTTCTTAAAAAGAAGGCTTTTAATTAAAGAAAGAAAGGTAAAAATCATCTCTGTAAAATCAGGATGGAAAATAACTTTACAGGGTAATCAAACGTAGAGCCCAGAGGAACCCCCTCTAACCTTAGGTTCAAAGTTACAGCAAACAAAGATAAACACTCTAGCAAAAGGTTTATTTATAAGTTGAGAAAACAAAGATAAAACTAACATGCCTTGCCTGGCTGTTTACTTACAAGTTTGAAATATGAGAGACTTGTTCAGAAAGATTTGGAGAGCATGGATTGATGTCTGGTCCCTCTCAGTCCCAAGAGCGAACAACCACCAAAACAAAGAGCACAAACAAAAGCCTCCCCCCAAGATTTTAAAGTATCTTGTCCCCTTATTGGTCCTTTGGGTCAGGTGTCAGCCAGGTTACCTGAGCTTCTTAACCCTTTACAGGTAAAAGGATTTTGGTGTCTCTGGCCAGGAGGGATTATAGTATGGTACCCAGGAGGGCTCTTACCCTTTCCTTTATAGTTATGACAGGCTTTTTAATGGGAGGAACAGGAAGTAAAGGGGAAGGAAAGAAGGTCTGTGAAAGGCTTCTTCTGCTATACACCCATGTTATGGCCTGTCCTGGTTTGAAACAGGGTTGAAGGTGCATGTGGTGTGTTTGTAAGCAGTCTGCTCTTCGGGTAGCTGAAGAAGTGCCCTGTGACACGTACCTTATGAAATCTTTTGCTCTCAGTCTATAAACTCTGTTGGTGAGTTATTAATGGTGGGAAGGTAATTATAACTGGGGGAATGATGTCAAATAGTGATTTTGCATGTATGAAATTCATTAGGCTAGTCTAAGCACATGCTCTCAGATTGCTTTCCTGGCCTTCTTAACTAAGTAAATAGAGAAATAGTAATTTATTCAACAAAAAAAATGTGAAATTCCAATAAATTATCTGCTGAAAGTCATTTGCCTGTCAGTGCTGGGGGACTGATCGTTGAGGCCCCAGTCCTGTATTGAGCCCCAGTGAAGCACCTGCACATGCTGAGTGGGGCTCCATGCAGATGCAGGGAACCATGTCTGCTATTCTCATTTGTAAGATCAGGGCCTAAATTGTTTCTTTTTTTGTATTTGTTTTCCTAAGCCTCCTAGGATGCTTTACTATTTTTACTATTTGGTAGGCAGCTGCAGTAAGCATTATTAAAGCCAGAACTCACTCTTTAGTGCACATAGTACACCTCTACCCTGATATAACGCGACCCGATATAACACTAATTCGGATATAACGCAGTAAAGCCGTGCTCCGGGGGAGGGGCTGCGTGCTCTGGCGGATCAAAGCAAGTTCGATATAATTCGGTTTCACCTATAACGCGGTAAGATTTTTTGCCTCCCGAGGACAGCGTTATATCAGGGTAGAGGTGTATAAGGGCTAGGGTCTCATATTTACTCCTGAATCAGGCCTCCAGTGTAGCTTTCTCTGCCTTTGCTTTCTCACTGTCTTCATGTCTGATTCTGCCCCCCCCCCCCCCCCGCCCCCCCGGATTAAGGAACCATTGCCCTGTTGATTGGCTTTGAGAAAGACATTACTTCCACATGCAAAGTATAAAATTAAGCCAACTTGTCCTGCAAATTGTTGCTGTTTCAGCCATCTGCAGCTGATTTCACGTGGTACCTTATCTGAAAAAGGTGTGTGTGTGGTAAGAGAGAGAATTGTATTTTGATGCAGAAGGTTTGAATTTTCCATATATTGCAACGTGCGCTTTTAAAAAAAGTGGAATGCACCAAATTAAGAAATATTGTCTGCAATATCTGTTTAAGCTTTCTGTATATTTGTCTATGACAATTGATGGGATACATACTAGATTTCCAAAGGATGCCTATTAAGGCCGCATCCTTCAGCTGGGCTTTACATAGGTGCAAAAGTTTGTGCTACTGAATCTGATTGTAGGATGGGGGTCTGTCTATATGTGAAGTTGTAGACTCAAGAATGTCGCGCACACACCCCACCTCAAAAAAACAACAACAAAACACCTTGGTGCAATGGCACTGCTGTTGCATTTGAAAATAATTTTAAGATTGAGTTTGCAAATGGACATGTATATGTCCATAATTATTTCCCTAATATTCACTCTGAATATCTAGCCCAGGACTCTTTTCAGTGTAATAAAGTCCCATTTATTCAAAGATAATAGAGGATTTCTAATTTTTCAGCTAAATAAGATTTTGGATAAATAAGGACTCCTCAGTGCAAAAGATACAAATCTGGAATTGTGATCCAATTTCAGATAACTTTTGGATAAGTGTGGCTCAAGTAAATGAGGTTCTGCTGTAACTTGTAATTACTTCAAGGTGCAAATCCACTAATCAAGGCTTATTGCACAGTTTGCTCCCTCTGGAAAATACATGTGTGCTTAAATAGATGGTAACAATTAACTAAAGAAGCTTGCCCACTTATCTTAGGCTGGTCATTTCAGCATGTAACAGGTTTTGTGTTGTTAAAGTGCAATTTGTGCTTTTTAAAAAAAACCCCTCTAAAAGCATCCTTGTAGGGTTCCATATTTTCATTGGTAAAGTATGACAAACTATTTTTTTAAAGACAATAGGGTTGGACAGATGGCCTTGCAAATGACATTTAGTCAACAACTATGTTGACGTGCAAGCCAGAAATGAACTCAGTTCATTCTTCCGTAGCTGCGTGGGTTCTGCATGGCTGACAGTAGTAGAATCTTATTTTTTGTCACTAAAGAAAGCAAATAGGACCCTGTGTGAGCACAGAGAGCAGATCTGTTGAGTAAAATGATGTTGCTTTTACATAATCACTTTTCAAGGCAGAACCGCACTTTAAGTGACAGCTATTGAAAATGTAATTACACACAAAATTGACTGTTTTGTGCTCCTGACTGCATAACCAGCCTCCTGAAAATGGAGCCCAATATATACATACTGTCAATATTCCCATGTCTCAGGGACAGAATATTTCACCTTCATAAAGCCCTCTACCATATGAACATATCTTTTGCCCCTGCTCCCAGCCTGCTTCTCCTAAGGGCAGGGATTACAAAATTGCCTCCCTCATCACCCCTTGTAGGGTGCTTAGGTCCTAGTGCTGAATGCAATAACTAATACTCCGGGGGGGAATTCCAAGCCTAAAAATTCCGCACAGAATATTTTAAAATTCTGCATATTTTATTTGTCAAAATAACACAATATAATCATGCCAGCTTCAATTATTTTGGTAATTTATTTCAAAATACCTAGTAGCAAGTATGCATGTAACACTACAGACAGCAAAAATAAAATACAAGAAATGTTTTTTGACATTTCTTACTAGGCATATTAATACAGGACTTTGAGTAATTCATTTACACTATTATACAGAACTGTATTTTCCACAGTCCTCAGAAGCAGAGCAAAGGCTTGAGGGAATGGAGGAGCTGAGGGAGAGAGAAGGAGCCTGGGAGTGAACCTGGAAGGTTGTCGGGTATGAGAGGGAGAAATATGGAACAGGGTTGTTGGGTTTTTTTGCGGGGGTGGGAGGGAGGGATTGTTTGGGAGTTGGGGAGCCTCCTCCTGCAGACCCAGGCTGACCCCTAGCCTCTCCCATTAAGGCAGGCACATTTGCACATGTTGCACAGCCATCCTTCGGATTTATGGGGCCCTATGCAGTATTAAACTGGTGCCCCTATGCCCAACGCGCTTAGCCCATGCGGGGGAGGGACGAGACAGTAAAGGATAGCGAGCCGCCCGGCCCACCTGACAGCAGCGGAGAGTCTCAGTACCCCGCAGAGACCCCTGTACCTTCTCTCTCACGCAGAATACACAGTGCCAGCGCATTCAAGTCAGCTGTCCTGCTGAATACAACATTAAATGTTAAGGAATACATGATGCAGCTCTTCTCTGTTTTATATTTTCTTAATCGGTATTTCTAAGCTGATTTTGTATTTTAAATGTACTCTTAAGCCTTCATAAAGTAATCATTCCAGATTACTACATATTTAATTCACTGAAACAAAGACATTTTAAATTAATCAGTCACAGAGGTTTAGTGTGTTCATAATAATATTCATTGCTTTTAGAAAAAGGGAACACTAATTTACTTTGTGTGATCTCCATAACAATATATATGTTTATGAAATTTCACCAACTTTAAAAAATATGTTTCCAAAGATTTTAGGCATAACAGAGGATTTTATATCTTACTAAGGTACTGATTTCGCTGGAGGGTTCTCTTAAAACTAGTTAATCAAATAGAAGTAAAGAAAGGGAAACTCGTTTGTCCAGCTATCTGGAAGGAAAGGGGTGTTGTCCCTTTAAGGGCTCTCTTCAACAGGGGGGGTGAATGGAGAAAGGGGTGAACAGAAAGGACAGGAAGACTTTGGAAGCAATTTTTTTGTACTAAAGTAATTAAAATTAAAATGTGTATTTTAGATAAGCGTGGTCTTTTGAAGGATTTTAATTTTAAAAACTATATATCTGAAGATCCAAACATTTAAGGCTAAAGATG